CATGATGCACATTACATTAATAATACTATACATCCGCAATTACTCGAATTATCAGTTATCATAATTGATGTAATCATTCACATAGGATTGCATTCTGTCAAAAATTCAGAACATTTACAAAATGTTAATAATTAAGGTATATCTGAAACATTTGATAGTGAGAGATTCAAGTGAGTCATTATTGTAAAACATCGCTGCAGTACTCTATTCATTCAATTTCCATCCGATCGATCATTAATGTTTTTCATTTTGCAAAGCATCTCTATCTCCAGAGGAGTAACCCTGAAGAGCATGTAGATTTCATTATTGGTTCGCTTGTAAATGAGCGTATTTTCACCTAAAATTGCAATTCAAAAAAAGAACTGAAGTTTGTTTACGCTCAGTGATAAGCCAAAACCAATAAACCTCACAAAACAAATCGTCTAACATTCAAAGTGATCACTAGTGATAACTTGCTATCACTTCAATAAAGTAAATATTACTTCCCTTGATTTTCGACGCAAAAATGCCTGACTATAAACCTTACATGAGGTGACAATTGAACGTAATATAGTACCAAAACTTAGTACCAAAACTAAAATCACCAACTGCTGCAACCAAATGAACCTGAGTCATCTCATAACCTGTGTAGGAACTTTTCTCCCATATCCCAGTGGCCATATTATACGCGTAATCTACAATGTTCTCAAATAGTCCAGTCTTACTCCAAAATAAAATTTTCCACTCCTTCGTATGAATTCCTGAAAAACTGATAGAACCTATTAAAAAATTAAAAACGCAGCCTTTTCACGTGACTAGCGATTCACAGATACGTTGATAGGTAAACCGCTTTACCGCATTACCCAAATAATGGTAATTTCACGAAAAGTTTTTTGTTTACTTATTTTTCCATACCAAAACTGTAGTAAAACTGAATTCTTATTCTTTTCGGTTTTATGGAAGAAAAAAGTAAAAACGATTTAGTTTTGTCTGTAACTCTGTTTATTTATTCAATTTTTATTCAAAAGCAAAAAAAAAAAACAGCTGAAAGTTAGAAAAAGACAAAGAAAAGACATAGAGAACAAGCAAAACAATAAAAATCAGAAAGTTTTGATCACAACATAAAGTTCGTGAAAAAAATTCCTTACAAAGACGAAAAACACATAAGAAACACATTTCTTACTATTTATCCATAATAACGTTTGTCTCCGCATATTTTAAGCCTAAATAATATAAAACAAAAGCTTGAATTTCTAGAATTTGTAAACTCTTATAATTTTTGACCTGAGAAAATTCAATCAGAATAAAACACAATTTAAACATTAAATGAATCCCGAATAACTATATCAGGAAGATGATAGCTCTACCTTCTTTACCGTCTCCACGTCCTCCTCATCATGTGATTTCTCATTAAGTAATACAAATTCTCGTGTGCTGAATCCAAATTTCAATACATCCTTCTCTCGCAACTCTATGAATCTGTACAAAGATAGAATAATATGAGATAAAAGATGACTGAATTTGCTCATAACTCTCAAAGCTCAAGACAACCAAAATTGAGAACAGATGTTGTATTGCTTGTTATCCAAAGAATCTTTAAAATTATTTTATTAGACTCAGAACATCGTAATGAAGTCAAAAAAAAAAAACTCACCGCTGTGATTCAATGCGTTCATTATTAAGATATGTACCATTCGCTGAACCAAGATCTATTATGTAAGGTCGTATACGCTTTACAGTTGTTCCATCAGGCAAATCTTTTGGAGTAAGACGATACTGGAAGACAGCATGCTGCTTGGAACAACTGGGATGATCCACTGGAAGATCAGCGATTTTACGATCACGTCCAATAAGATATGCTGATTGTCGATGAATATACAGCACAGGTAATGCTTCATCGCCCTGTCCCATTCATAACAGTAAGGCATAAAAAAAAGTAGTAAATGTAAATATTCGAGGTGATATCATTCTGCATTCTACTTTGCTTAATGCTAATAATGCGATAAAAATGGGAAAATCTTAAAATCTCAAATGAAGCATAAAAGATTTAGTGCGTTAACTAACAGTGAAGAACTAGTTCCATAATAAAACTTAATGAAAACTGGATGATGAATGTAATAATTTCTACATTTTGCTTAAAACCAGAAAAATTTTTAAATGTCAACGTACAACCTTAAAAGGATAAAGACGCCAACGTAATTTTGGTATATGTGCATCGGATGGTTCATTGTATTTGATAAGAACACCTCGATAAGTATTGGTATCTTCAGCTAATTTTCCGCTTGGTTCAAAATTAGGCTTCTCTTTTTCAACCTTCGGTTCTTCTTTGCTATCATGATCACCACGAAGGTATTCACCAAATGAATCTTGTAGCTGAGCACTGGAAAATAATGTATGAAGTTAAGAAACTGGAAAGTGCACAACGATACATTTTGAGTGCTTCATCACATATGTCGGTTGAATGTATAAATACGTGCGTCTAGACAGATTTAAGGCCATTTACGAAGAAATTTTCAAACATCAGCAAATCCAAAAAACTTACGAATGATTTCTTTTGAATCTTTCTTCCTTTGTATTACTAGTTGATAATTTCCTATCGATTCCTTCGTTTAACTCTTTCCCCATCCCTGCAATGTAAAAGACAAATAATCACTTGAAAAAGTAATGTCTTTGCCAACAACTATCAACTACTATCTGGTTACCAGTAAGGAAACCAAATGATGCAACTGTTTCAAAGAGGATTTGTCACGTCACTGTTTCTCATAAAGTAAATCTTTTCTCTAATAACCCCTAAGAAAAGAATAATCACTGGATCAATAAAAACGAACGGCAGTACAATAAGGACAAAACCAAGCAAGAGACTTTTAGGAGAAGGCTATACCATACATTTTCGTTAAACTTAAAGTAATTGAAAATAAAAAGAACTGCATCGAGAAATCCTCGAACCATTTACTTCTTGCTCTTGGATATGTGACCGTTTACAGCAATCTTGTATGAATTTTGATTTCAGTCATTGATTTTAATCATCATACAAATAATCTTGTATAAAATTTGAATCATTCATTACCAGTATTTCTCAAATGTCATGCAAATGAGATTAAGTCAACTAGTAGGAAATTACATGACTGACAATCGGAACATGCTCAATTTCTGAAGGAAAGCCTTACTTTTCTGCAAACTACGTCTGCTGCATGAATTTCGACTTTCTTCTGTTTTCTCCTTTGTATGACTTCTCTTCAAAGTTGACACGAAGTGTTTTTTTTTCAGATGGTTATTTACAACACCTGTAAGATGCAGATCAAATCCCAAGCCATCTCATTTGGATAAAGTTTGAAAAGCCTAATGAACGACTCAATTTCAGACAAGATTACTGTAAACGATCACATCCAAGAACAAGATTAAGTCAACTACTCAGTCAAAAAAAAGAAAAAAAAAGGAACCATAAGAAGTGGAGAAATGCGTGGGATGAAAACGTGAAGAATGAGTACGCGAAGTTGAGGGTGAAGTGGATCGACGACTACCTAAAGAGCGTGACTTCTCTGAACTACCTGAATTATCATTCCTGCGCTTACGCGTCATCTGAAATTTCCAAATTAGAATTTTATGAATCCATTATTTTTATGCGTTAATAGAACGACAAGCATAGTTGTACTAGATGAGAAACCAGCTCCCAAAGAAGTTCTGTATCTCACCCAATAATCCCCTCGTCGTCCTCAACAAGTTATCGGACTCCGATTTTAACGCACCCCACCACGTTCCTCCGTGAAAAAATGCATCACGGTAGACTCGCTCTGATGTCCTAACCCGTTCACCATAATATGCAACTACAGAGGTACGGTGGCAGGATTGTCACCATCTAGTAGCACATATTCTTCTCTATACTGTACATTATTCCGTACTACACTGCAAATATCTCTTCCGTTAGATGACAACTGAGGATGACGTCACTTCACAAATTAGTTTGTTGTTAGACAGGGGATAATTCGAGGGGAAGGGAGGGGAAACAAATAAATGAAGAAGTGGGAAAGGAAGATACTAGAAACAGCCTACCTTAGCCATATTTAGCTAATGCTTACAACCAACACTGCTTATGCCATCATTGTCATCAATGAGTCAGTCATTCTACTGCTTCTTTGCTCTTCACTTTGCCATGGTCGTTCCGTCGTCATTTTTGCATGTTATTATAATCGATATATATCTAGCTATTAGTGCTCCACCAGTGTGGACATTTTCGGATTCATAAACATTTGCACTGATTTGTGTTAATTCCACAACCTCAACTCTTAATTTTATTACGGAGATATGAAGCTTGATATCAAACTGATTTTGAAATCCAATTGACAGTTCGATCTTCTCACCGTCTCTAAGAAAGCTATTGAATGTCACTAATATTCTTTATGTATCATTGAATAACACTGTGATGTTTTCTTTTTACGCGGACTTTTTACTTAAACTAATATTTCATTACTGAAACGTTTCAACTCTGCCATTTTACCATTTTTGTACTTCCATATTTGTCTGCTTGGATCGTTGTGACTAATCAAAACTTATAATGCTCATAGAGGAATAAGTTTCATGAGAAAGTGAAGATATTTATTGCACAACTAAAATATGCTTCACTCGATTGCAAGAGACTGCTAATAGAAATGAAGTGTGTTTAAGGACATCGGAAAATTATGTGATTAGAAGTTAAATACATAAACGAAAAATGTAAACCCAAAAATGTGAAGTAGAGTTGGGAGGAGAATTTGGTACAAATAAAAGTCATCGACTGAAGAGTATTAGAGGGAGTTTCATTTTGTAAATAATTGTTAACAAATGGATAGTCATAAAGTAGTAAAGTATAGTTCCATTGAAATGTAAAAATGGTATTATCATTGTTATCAATGTTTTAATAATTTAATTTACATCATCGTCGATTAAAACACTCGTAATGCAAATTTAGGGGCTTCCGAAAAAATTCATTGGATAATGTAAATTCGAAATTTCATGCAAGAACTGAAAGTTGTATGGTAGCAACAATGGCTTATACACGTCATTACGAATCGACTACCAAGCAATTTTTTGCTTTTTTAATATTAATAATAACAGCAATAATTATTATTAGTAGTAACAATAATGATAATTAGCAATAGTAATAATAATAATAATAAATCAATAAATAACAACAATAAATAGATAAATAAATAATAATAATAGTAATAATAATGATAATAACAAATAAATAATATTGGCGCTTAATTTTAGCGGTTTAAATTTCGATCGCTTTGTGGATCGATTTGATGAGCCAGCATTGGATAAAATGCGCCAGCAGTATTGGACAGCTAAACAATTAATCAGGAAGAAACTGGGGAAAAAGGTTAGTGATGGTTTACTTGACTGCAAATAGTAATGCTCAAGGAGCATTTTAAAATTTGGCCATAAATTTAAATGAAACTTTAAAATATTTCAATTTCAGGAAGATGAGCATTTATTAGCTTCAGATGCGGAATTTGATACAAAAATATCTCTCTTTCAGTTCGTTCAAGAAACATCTGACCAACTGCTTTGCTGTGTCGATGACTATCAGCATTATCTAAGCGGTATTTTTTCCACAACCAAATCAATCAGTCATAATTTATTCAACATTTTTGTGTTTTATGATTTCAGCATTAGAATTTTTATCAGAAATTTAAAAACTTGTTGATACTACTACGTTTGTTTCTAGACTTTATTTGCAGTATGCCTTTTTCATATGTGTGACTTATATTTTGAAATCCCTTAAAAAGCGCTACCATTAAAAAGTGGAACTTGTCTTCAGAATTAGTGCAAGTGGAATTTAAACTGAGTAAAATGTTGAAAGAAAATGGTGGTGCGGAAGCGACTGCTGCTGGCCGTATTATGATAGCTGTTGCAAGAGTTTTGGCGCTTTCAGTTCATCACAGGTTATTTCTAAAACATATCTTCTCAAATCTAAATTTATAACCATTGAATTGTTGAACAAAATCGTTTTTTCCTGATTATGATTGGGTTTTAGGAGACTTAAGGAACTGTCATTTCTCTGCTTCTTCTAAAACTGGGTAACTTTTTATGAGCTGAATTAGCAATAGATCCTTTTTAGTGTTATATTTTTTAAAAAAGATTATTGACATACCAATCTGATAATTTCTGCTGTTATGAACCAGTTTAAAAAAAAAAAAAAGAAAAACTGATTGCTAGATTGCAAATCCGGAATCCTCTATTACGATTCTTTGGTGAGCTTCATGTTTTCACGGAAAGAGCCATCTTGGATTGTTCGGATACAGTGGATGCTGCGGAAAAAGCTAGGACTGGATACAGAGGATCATTATTATGGATGAAGAAAACGAGTAAAGAGGTAATAGCTCTTGAGATGTTTCTAGAGTGAACTCCTTAAGTGTTAATCAATTTTTATTTTACTTCCACTCAATATTATGGATTCAAAGGACTGCTTTGTCTTGCGAAGTTCTCAGTCGTGCGTGATTTCGGTAAAGCCTTATTTATTTTCCTGGCAGCTTATCGACTAGTTTCCTAAGATCGGACTGGATATCAAACGTTTATGCTGCTAATGCATCTATGTTTTCTCCTCTTCCTGATTTTCTCATATTACAGCTTGACCCAGACGCAGAAAATATTTTGGAAAAATTTCGTACAGCGCAAAATGTTGTTAGGCGAAATAAAGAGAAACTGGATAGTTTGAAATTGGATACTCTTCAGAAAGTTGATTTATTGGTCGCTAGTCGCTATAATTTATTTTCGCAGGTATTGTATAACTAAAACTATTTTTCAAATTGAAAAAAAAAAAAACATTATTCGAAACTCATTTTCTCCAAAGGTTGTTATTTGATGTAACTTTGGAGATAGTAGCTGGTCGTCAAACTATTTTATTCAGTTACGATTCAATCTGCAGCCATTTCATATCATACATAAAATATGGCAAATGTAGAGAAGAGAGAAGCGACTAATTTCAAAATACTTAAATGAAGCAATTCCATACATGCTTGTAACATTCTGCCTTGAAACTTATGGCATCTGTTGTAGCTTAGAGTCAAATTTGACTTTCGTATGCTCAAGAGTATGCTTCCTTGTTTGTTATTGTAGTTGTTATAGATGAATGCATTGAGTAGAAGGTGTGTTGTAACGATTTTATTCGCTAGTAACGCGATAGACAAGTGCAACAATACACTGATAATTTCATAGAGTATCTACGAATGCGATCAAGATGAATAAATTGATGGAGAACTTAAGAGATTTAAATGAATGTGGGAGAGCAGCCGAATCATAACTTATTGGTACAAAAAACTGACCAAGGCAAAAGAAATAAATCCTTATATAGGGTAACAAGCTCATAATTATATTGAGTAAAGATGATCTTTACACTTTATATGGAAGGAGATGGGTTCCAAAGCCTAGGCCCTGGAGATTCGCGAGACTTATTCCGAGTTCAGCAATTCTTATTTGAAAATAAATTTCCTGTTCAAATCCTTATTGAAATCCATTTTTTAAAAATAGCTGAGCTTATTCCCTTCTGATTGCAAAAAAAAAACATGAATATAATTAAATCCTATTATTTTAAACTAATTGTTGCTCTGCAGATAGATTAATATTCAGTGTTAATGATTTTTGATGATACCGAATAACTCAGAAAATTGCACATCCCATTTTAATTCGACTTATAATTCAGATTAATAATTTAATCTGTTACATACTTTGACAGCTGTTGGAATCGTATCAGAAATTATTATACAATTATTATGAACAAACAACGCTGGCATATGAGAAGATTTATGATTTTGTGTCTAGTCGTAAACATTACGAATTTGAAGTACTAACGGTAATTATAACCTAAATTGTGAATACTTTTACTCATCATATTTTTATCATTGTAGGAAACGAAGGATTTTTTCAAATGTTGCTTCCAATCAGAAGATTCAATAAGTAAATTAATGATGAATAAATTCTCCAACAAATAAGTTGATAAGTTTGCAGGATCTGCTTGAACCTTTAAAAGAGTTTGCTTGTGAGAATGACGACCAAATTACAACTATGGAAAGGGGACGCAAAAGGTTTTTCTATTCTATTTTTAACCAAACCTTAAAAAATTTTGCAGATAAAAGTGGTAATCATGTTTCGATATCTTTCAGCTTAATTGAGCTCGATCACTGTGAACAGGAAATGGAGCAAGTGCTACAAGATTTGGAGAATTTAAACGGACACGATTTATTAAGCAATAGAACAGAAAGTCCACTGGGCTTACCAAAAGGAAGTCAAAATGGAGATATCATTGAACCAACAAGTGATACACCAATGCAAACATTAATATCAGTTAAAGCAGAACCAGGGAATGTAATATCAAGCACTGCATTCCCATCCATAGCTCCTCCACCAGGATGGAAGTTAAATAGAAATAGTAAATCTCATATTTTAGTCTCATAACATTTTAAAATGAAAGATCTCAGGATTAAGAATGTTGAGATTTAACAATGATATTGGAATTTTGGCTTGAAATACGTTACATATTAAATTAAATTTACGACAGTTTGATGCTGTAAATCCTAATTTAATGCCGTAAAATCTAATTTAAGAGATTAACATTCTTAATCCTTTGGACATCACAGATCCATCGTGACCACTTTTATTAAGAGAACAATGTCAGAAAAAATGAATTGATTTTGTCGCTTATTGTTCTACTTATTTCTAGTGGATCGCTGTTCAACCGATCTGATGGATTTACTGTCTTTGGATGATGATGCTTCTGGAGTAAACTCATTCGCATCTGACTGGTCAAAGCTAACGACAAGCACAACTGCACCTGTTTCAGTAAATTCCTCATCTTCCGTTCCGCCATCTTCGTCATTGTTAGCTCTACCGTCGCAGCTGCTGCAGTTTCCTTCAATGGAAAGCGATTTCCCAAATCCGTTCGCAGATTCAACAGATCAGAATTTCGATGTAAGTTTAATATTGGAAAATAATGGAATAATTATATTTCCACACTGGGACTTCAAGTCTGAATTGAATTTTGAATGTAACTCTAGATTTGTTCAATAAAACCTCAGCGTTCCAATTTACAGGTTTGGAAAGGATTTTTGAAAGAACTTGAAACAGCTGAAGTCAATAGTAGTGAAGTGTTTAAAAATTGTTGACTTGGCAATGGTCCAACTTCCCACTTCTTGCGGAATCTCAAATGTTTCATTTATGTTTATAAAAAGAATAAGCTTAAATGGTCTCTCAAGTTTTATATACACATATAGAGCAATGAAATACAGAGTATTCCAAAATACGATAAACTTTTCATTTCATCTGTTGAATGCTCCATGTATTTGTCCCACACATTATGGGAATCAAATGCACATTTAAATCAAAAGAAACATTTTTTTTTTCTGAAATTCTATTTTTGAAATGAGATGAAACAATTTATTACGATTGGGAATATCAAGTTAGAAGTACTTCGGTTTTCGTTCCGATATTTTCAATAATGACTTCAGTAGGCGCTCGTTTTCTGCTTGGATCCTTCTTTCTTCATCACGCTATAAAAGTGTTAGATTGTTATGGTGCTACAGTGGTTTGAAATGATCATTTCAAAGGAAACTTACCGAAAGTGTAATTGAAAGCTAAAAAATTCCGATTAGTGGAATCGTTCCAGTAATCAAGCTTAACGTTTCAGGGAACGATTTCGTTCGTGACAAAACTGAGGAATCAATAAAATAGTTTTGATTCCTGAAGTTTACTGTATCGTACTGATAGACAAGCGAAGAGAGTCTAGATAGGTAATAAAATTTGCAGGAGGAATAATTCAAGTTTCCGACAATATCAGAGAGGTTCAAAAATTAAAAAATTTATTATCTAAGGTTCCTTACTGTTTAAAAAACTTCAATAAAATATTTTGAAAATTTGAGGAATGAATTATGCAAAAAATAACCTTTTGTGATGACATTTTTAGGCGTGCTGGCATTGATTTGGATCGAGGTCTGCTTTCGACAACAGGCTTCGCTTTGAGAATCTTGAAAATAGCTAAAGACTTAGTAAACTGAGTAAATTAATTTTGAATTATCAAAAAAAAAGTTAAAGATTTGACAAAGAAAAAGATGCATTCGTCTTTAAATGATCAATATAAGCACAGGCGGTATAGATAAAGATCAGAGAAATTCAAATAGTATTATTTTGCAATTCATCATGAGATAATAAGTTATAACGCGTAAAATCTGTAAATTGCGTAATGCAAATTGGAATTTAAATTTAGTGTGAGATTTTAAGTTTTACGTACTCTTTCTTTATGCTTGATAAATTGATATAACCTCTCATGACGAGCCAAATTACTCATTGCTCGTGTCGTAGATGTCGAAATATCTGAAATCACAATTGCCCGGATGAAAATTTGTATTATAACGAGAGTGCCATCTGTGAGGGATTCAAATAGATTAAGTGAGTTTTTGAAATAAATTTGTTAAAAAAAAATAAAAGTTAATAATTTTCTTGAATTGATTTAGAAATATATACAACTGAAAGCATTAATAATATCTGAATAGTTGTCAGCTCTGATATAATATTTCAGCATCACTATGGAAACAGCAAATAATTGAAATGAAAGTCATATATATCTTAAATAATCTTGCCCACTTTTTTTTACTTCCTTTGTGGAGGAGAAAAAGTGCGGTCTTATCGTCTAATTCTTAGACTCATAAACTAATTAATTTTTCAAACTTACTTTCTACTTCTCAATGAATCAACATTGCTTGTCACTATCATTATCAGTAAATCATTATCATTGTTATTTAGGAAATAATCAAACATGCTGTGATGTAGAAATATATTATTTAAAACTAATAAATGCTTTTCTTAACACCAAATAACGGACAGTATTGATGACAAATACACTGTTTAGAAATCGTTGCGATATTATGAATTATGAATACTACGCTCATTCAATTGAATTTTACTCATTTCGTTTCACAAATTTTGTCATAATGATTGATTCAATGAAAGAATGTTTCTACAGTAATTGTCGAACAATTTGTTTCTATTCTGAACTCAGTTTCTTGCACAATCACATCATTGTATTCCATTCATTACACAAAATTAAATTGAATCAAAATTTAGTGAGGCATTGGAGAAGTGCTGGAAGATGCTCTAATTTAATCGCAATCTAGTCCTGTCTTCGATATTTTTCCTGTTTCACTTAATGATAACTATGTAATTTAGTTTGGTGGACATTTCACAAATTTGATTGGAACTTATTTCGAGAGAGGGAGAGAAAGAAAAGGAGGACAGACAGAGAGAATGTCTTAGAGAAAATGCTCACTTTCTCTTTTATCAAGTGCCAGTCGATGACAAATTTAAATGGATACATGCGATGTGGTCTTGTTAAAGTATCTGTATGTGCGTGTCACCGATATGTGTCACCAGCTGTGCTGGTCAATAATTCCCTTTGCTTGATATAAAACTTACAGAGGTTGCACTTTCTTCTCTGCGCTGCGCCACCAATATCACACAAATGCATTGTCAGGCGTCAACAGTCAATCAGTTTTTTATTTCTAAGACCAATATGGCTTGATATATTTTTAATTTCTTTTTTTAAATGATTATATAAATTGAAAAGGCACTTCAGCTCATGAATCATTCATTGTGGCAGTATTAATCAGTGACAGCTAATTAATCATTCGGTATTGAAAATTAAATTTTCCTGATAAATTTGATTTATGAATATTGCAGAAACCAATTTTAGTTTGATTTAAAACGTATGTTTCCCATTTAGTTTTTTTCCCTTATTGTTTTTGTTTTGAAAATAACAAAATGAAAACTGAATCAATGTATGCATTAATTTATTCTCAATTTCTTTACTGATTTTCAGTGACGATTTCATGACTGCAATGCTATTAAATTCGTCTTCAAATTGTAATCATTCATTTTTGAAAAGACTTGTAAAATCGCAGAAGAAAAAAGTATAGTAGCAGTTTGGTGTTCATGAAAAGGAATGAATAATACATGGATCATCAAAAAGGAATGAATATTTGCGACATTAAAATCCAAAAAGTTTTTCTTGATTAAACGAAATATTTGCTTATTTTCCCTAACAATAATTTCATCGCTCTCCATCTTCAACTTATCATATACAGCCATGTATGAATTAAAAAAACTCGCCTTCTTCACTTGCGCAACGTCCATTTCTTGCTTTGTAAATCGACCGAAGACCAAATTACTCTTCCTTCTCTTAGCCTTGGCTATCTTTCTAATAAAAAATACTCGAAAGTTATGTCAGTGTAATTTATTTTTCACTTCAAAACAAAGAAAAACATGTACATCTTCCCTAATAAAAATATAGACAAACATTGGAAAAGTGATCATTACCATGCTTTGAAACTTCATTTTCAGACAAAGTATAGTCCTAAAAAACGTGACATTCCATACTTTCTATTCGTGTGGCGTAGTCAGAAGGAACCTACGTGAGTTTAAAATATTCAAAATATCCATTTTCAAAATATCACAGTTACTATACGAAGTTCAGTCATTTAAAACTTCATCGAAATATATGGATGGATTATCCTAAATTCACATCTAAATTCTGTTTCATCTAAATTTGTTTTTTCATAAATCTCAAGAAGTTTAAGAATACGGTTTTAAAAGTTAACATTTGAAATTAGTTGTAAGAAAACTGAAGCAGTTTTCAAGACGACAATAAATAAAAATTTTGTCACAAAATGTATGTCCACTACATTCCCCTGCTTTCCATACTTCTCATTTGTAATCCATCTGAATACCTGTATGATTCATTGATTATAACCTTGAAACAATACTTCTACGGTGTTAATGTCAAATGAAGTAGAGTAACTAATTTCTAATTTCCTAGCAAATTTCCGAAATTTTCAAATATCACATAGCTAATTGCCTTTTATGGTTTATGCGTTTCAATTTTTGGATAGATTCAATCGGATGCTCTTCTGTTTTAATCAAAGGTACTCAGTAAAATCTTCAACACTTTTCCTTTCAGAACACAACCATCCACTGATTCACATTAAACGGCCAAGAATGGCATGTCGAGCACCAACAGAGCAGTCCATCGAACCGCAAATCACTTATCGCTTACTTTAATTAATTAATGTTCAACAATCATAATTGAACTAATAGAAACTGTTCTACCATTTTCCCAAGAAAACATGCTGTGGAATGCTAAAAATTTACAGTTTCGCTTTATACAATGGATTCAGACAAACAATAGAAACTTTTTAAAAGTTGAAAGCTAAATGCTGAAAAAGTTTACATTCAATTTCTAAGAGTTTAGAAGTTTTAGATGAATACAGTTTAATATTAACACAAAACGAAGTGAGATAGCACTTCGAGCTGGAGGTTGTGAGTTGGTAAGTATGGTACGGATGAGTAGAGGAGAAAAGAGTGCCCAGAAAAAAGACAAACGCAATAGGCTTTTTCTGAGTATATTAAAAAACAATGTTCAGTTCAACTTTTACATAAGTCAGAAGTATCCAAAAAATATTTAGGCCATTAATAACGGCGATAATATTCAACCATTAAATGCTGCACTTTATGCTTTACCGTTAAATGACTATTTCTCTTGATGAAGGGGGGAATATTTCGGACTCAAAAGTTCTTAAATGCAGCTCTCTTACAATTTCACTCTAAACAGCGGTATATATCTGCTTCCTTCATTTATTCAGCGTTTCGGCATGCAGTTCATCCTTCAACTTCTAGTAAAGTATTGCAGATAATTTAAGTATTCCAAAACGCAAAATTTATAACAAGCATAATTTGCATAGTAAATCTGCAAATCCACTTTGCTTGAAGAAGCCTACAATTTAACTAAAACTTGGGAATTCCATAAATGACAAATGCGATTCATCGACTACTCTGCATCACTCTTCTCATCTTTGTTTCGTTTCATTCCATTCATCCTTTAGCCGCGTCACAGAATGATTGACAAGTGAAACACAATTATATCTTCATTTTGCTTTCTTTTGTGCGGAATTTCACATTCTTTTCTCAAATTGTCAAATTTTGTATCTGTGCAATGCTTGAAAACCGATGATGTTGCTTTTGTTTATCGGCTATCAATAAATAAATAGCACTGATAACAAGAACGTTAACAATGAGTACACAGTGATAATTATGATTACGATTGCGAGATAGTGATAGCAGTGATGACATGGTGATAAAATGGAGTGGGAATGACGGGAGATATTCTGTTCAATTCCATATGATTGATAAGAAGTGATGTATTGAGATAACGAGAAAGTTGCACAGACCATCCTAATGAGTTCCGAAATATTATTTTCTTTGGTAGATTAGCTCTCCGAGATTTATAATAACACTGATATGCTAGAATAGAATCGGTCGCGTTGACAATGTTCCGAAATTTAACTAGACAAAATATGACCGACAATCTCAAATATTCAAGCGCTACGTAAATAAGCACCAACTCATTTATATAGACGATGTTGAATTATATGTCATATTACGTATCTCAAAAGCTTTGTAGCTTTAATTAGGCTAAGTTTGACATTAAAAAAATTGACTGCAAACTTTCCGTGTACACATCTGCAAAATTAATGATGTGAGTTGTGTTTAAATTTTAGCAAGCAACTGAAAAATGAAATTATACACCGAAAATGGTCAGTTATCACATTTACAAAAGGGAAAATGTTAGGAAAATTAGACCGTTAAGGTATGGAGACAGAGTCCGCAGCATATGAGTCGAGTATCTGATCACAAGATGAGCAAACAGCAAACATGACTTATGTCAGAGTACAGCAAAGTAATAAAGTAAAAAGACAACGGCAATCTTTGACTTATGTGTACTTTGGTCTCTACTTATTACTTCATTTATTTACTAATTACGCGTTTCGCATCTCATGTCATATTGAAGACTACTATCACCAATGATCGGGTCATCATGCGGGTTTCTTAACCAATGAATAAAACAATGATACGTGATGGCTCTTCTACACGTGTCATCTCTATATCGTCGGTTGGTGACACAGGGAAGTGATCAGAAAGGACGTCTGATAAATGGGGAGCATAGAAAACAGTACCTACAACTGTATGGGATGGGATGAAATCAGATCAGATCGAGTGCAGCGACATATCAAGCAGTCCTCCCAGTGTCGCCATCGATCAGAAAGGTTCCTCAGGCGATGGAGAAGGGCAGAGGGCACACTGCCCTCCATTATGTGTGCTCTCCTGCGGGATAAAGCCTTGCAAATCGTTCAATACGCTTTTAAACTCCCTTAATAACGACATGTGTGTGTGTGTCTATGTCTCTGTCTATATATATATATGTATGTGTGTGGTGTACAGACTGGTCTGGGACATGCACCACGGGTATTAGGGCAGTGCACTACCATGCAATCGAGGAGTTGTTGAGAGGGAAAGCGAGGGCTGCAGCAGGCGCTTTTCCTGTCTTCATTTCCCTTTGGGTAGTAGCTTCGTCTGCAGGTGTTGCTGATTTTCCTTTGGATGGCTGACCTCTCACCCTTGTTTCTCATGATTACTTCCTTGGTGGCACATTATTTCTGCTCCTTCTCCCGCTCCATTATTCCTTCTCAATTTTAAGTGACTCTTTTCTTTTAAAATGTAACATTTATCAAACTACCGCTAAACTTTTCTCACTTTATTGCTTTCAAAGTTACACTATACAACGATACTGTGACAGAACGGCTTTTTCAGTACGAAAAATACGTAATAGGCGATAGGTATTAGAACTGTTTCCACGCTCATTTGATTTCGATTTCACATTTTAGGTGGAAAGCTTCCACTATCCTTTCTATCAGTTATTTTGTCAAATAATGTCCATCCATCACTTCCATTCGTTTTGCACATTCAACAGTTAATTAGCAATGAAATTTAGCTAATACTTAGTTGCTCACATTTTTGTCCTTCCACTTTTCATATCTAATGATGCCTTTGCTGTATGCTTTGCAGTTGGCTTTCCCACTCGAATATTTTTGAGTTGACTGATTTTTTGATTAGATAGAGGTTTCGCTTGATATTGGGAGTTGTTAGTGTAATAGTGATGATATCTTTCATATCTCTCATTATAGTCATGGAGATGTCGTGATTAATTTAGGTTATTTGAATGTGAAACCTTCAAATTAACGAATTCTCTCTTTCGTCAGAAATAGTTTTAAGTAAATGACCACTTTCTTTTGAGGAAACAAAATTATGAGAGTGCGCCTTTTTCATCCATTTAAAAAACTTGCTTGATTTCAGTGAAATCTACCTGAACATACACATACATACAGACAAAGTATATGAATATCCTACATTTGCCTTCAAATGTTTCTGCTTCTTTTAGTATATAATATTTGTTATAAAGGATTTGTTTCTTTTCACCATCAGTTAAAGGCTTATAAAGGTATAATTTGTCCAGCAGAAAGAAGCTTAACATCCATATAACTTAAGTCTACTTGAAAGAATCGGCTGAATGACAATTGGTCAGTGGATGATCAAAAACCATGAAACCACTCTCGGTGTTGATGATAATGAAGCTGATTTACAGTTTCTCTTACAATACCAACTTCTTTATAAAAATTTAAAATTACATTTCATACTGTTAATACTTATTGGAAATAAGTGTCACAAATCAATTCTGTAAGCAAGTGGAAAACAAAGAATCAATACAGGACGAGAGAAAAAGATAAATTAGAGCAATTCCGTAATTCCGTACTTTTCCATTTTTTTCATCAAATTTCGACTTCATTCCGTCCATCTCGAAAAAATAAATAGTTACAATTTCTATTTTTATTTTTTTTCGAATTTCCCTATGACAGCCTTATTAAATCCTTCTGAGAGATTTGCCACAAAGTCTGCGCTAAGATATTTGCTGTAAGGATACATGTTCTTGATATTTCATTAGTCTTGTAGTTAAGACAAATTAAATTTATAATTAATAAGTATTGTCCTTCAATTTATTGCTTAATAAGGTATCGAATAAATTGATTACTATTAGGAGTTGCCCTGAAACTTGTGGCATCTGTTGTAGCTTAGAGTCAAATTTGACTTTCGTATGCTCAAGAGTATGCTTCCTTGTTTGTTATTGTAGTTGTTATAGATGAATGCATTGAGTAGAAGGTGTGTTGTAACGATTTTATTCGCTAGTAACGCGATAGACAAGTGCAACAATACACTGATAATTTCATAGAGTATCTACGAATGCGATCAAGATGAATAAATTGATGGAGAACTTAAGAGATTTAAATGAATGTGGGAGAGCAGCCGAATCATAACTTATTGGTACAAAAAACTGACCAAGGCAAAAGAAATAAATCCTTATATAGGGTAACAAGCTCATAATTACATTGAGTAAAGATGATCTTTACACTTTATATGGAAAGAGATAGATTGTAATGTTGTCAGTTTTTGATGACTATTGAATTAGCTAACCTTTACAATATTTCGATTTTGCAAACAAATTTAGAAAGGAGTAGTTTTTAACATATTAAGCTATGCGCATACTCTTTGTTAACAGTTGGAAAATTCTAGATAAGCAGGTAAGCTCGGTTACAATGGGAAGATGAGTGTTGGATAAATGATTGCTTGCATAAGATGCAATTTGAAACAGTTTTATATTTCTTTAAAGAGTGTTACAAGTTTTGGTATTATGAATTAATACAATTTTGTTTGATATATTTTGTAAGTTATTTGGAGGCTCGCGAGACTTATTCCGAGTTTCGCGACAGGAGTGAACCGAACCGAACCGAATTGAATTGTCTTATCACTTCATAAGACGTCACTGTTGCAATCTAGTCCAGCCATTTCATTTTTGAGGAACATAAATTGTTTGTAGAAATATTCCACGGGATACCGATGCTTTGGTATGTAGCAACGCAATCCCACACCACTATGAGCTGTTATACGGGGAGTTTATTAATCTTCGTGTCATTCGTCCACCACTTATGATACTTACCGCTGTTACACATTACTATTGTTATTTCTTCTCATACTTCTCATTAAAATCAATTTAGTGAATTGTATATAAATATTATTCCAAATTATTGTTAACTTTCATTCCAGGTGTCATCGCGGGTACGGGAAGATGTGCATATAGTGTATAGTTGATTACCAGAGTTGTTGATTCCTTGCATTCTGTCTTAAATTTTCTTGTTATCATCCTCTACTCTTCCATACTTCCCCGTTCTCTTGCACACTTTTTTCTTCCTTCAATTTCGGGTTATTTGAACGGCACAGAGCTGAATAAGTTAACTACAACAAAAAGCACACAAAATGGATTGTGATGCTGAATTCAATGCACTGGTTTCCATGTATCAAAGTGTTGTACATGACATGAAGGTGTGTTTATATTCTTTTTCTCAACGTTCTCACGACGGTTTATGTCGAATGTTTATTAGGATGAGGAATAGGTGCAGGACATTTCTAAGTATGGAAAATGGAATGTGTAGTCGTATTTAGGATGGAAATTTATAAATTTTATTCATTAAGAATATTCTTGATATGGAATTTTGTTTTAACATGTTGTGTATCATATAGAGTCAAATATTGAAGTTACATTTCGGTCATCCACTGGTTACAATTTTCGCATTATGCAACGCCATTTTTTCTTTTTTGTAGTTGACATATCCAGCATGGGAAAATGTCGCTCAGAAAGCTCTTAAACTTGCGTCGCAAATGAAGTCGACTTTGACTTGTATGAATGCTTTCATAGATGCTGTGCAAGCTGTTGGTGATGTCGCTAATAATTTAAAAGGTATGTTTAATAGTTTTTCATCATTTGTCCGCTATAAATGTTCAATTAACTCAAATTGATGCGTCATTATATAATTTGATAACCAAATAGGTACCATATTTAAAATCCAAACGCAATATTTTTTCTAATAGCGTTTATATTTTTTTTTTCAAAGTTTAATCTCGGAAATGAAATTTTTCGTAAAGGAAAAGATACTTGGGAAATAATTTGCTGCATGTTTCCGATTCGTCAAAAAATCTTGAATGTTAATTCACTTATTCTTAATAATAGTTATTGTGAATGCTTATTTGCTCATAATATTATTTTGAGAATTTTTCTTTCAGATATTTATTTTATATTTCCACAAACTTCTATTTATTCAAGAATAATTACTTTGATTCATCTGGACTTGTTCCTCAACTTATGTAGTTCAGTTTTGGTGATTCGAGTAATGAAGATTGAGAGATTGGATTCATGATTCAGGTGCCACTCGAGATATTGGTGCATGTCTTACACGTGTTTGCATGCGACAGCGATCCATTGAAAATCGTTTGCGTGGTTTTGTGGACTCATTAACCGATGAACTGGCCATGAGCTTGCAAAACAAAGGTACTTATTGGAAACAACGAACCACGGAAATGGATCGACATGCGAATAAATTTTGTCGAAAGGTGAATTGCAAGGTACTGCTGTACATTTTAGATATCGTGTAATCTGTTGATCATCCATTCATACATATATATATATATATATATTTCAGTTGAACAAAAATTTCAAAATCGAATGCGAATTTTGAATTAACAACTTCAAAATTAATTCGGTTGCATGTTTTGACTCATCAATGAACAGGACTGACTTAGTTTTTGATTATTCAGTTCTAATCTTAAAGACTAATATTTCGAAGGCGCTGAAATTTCTATGGATATTTTCCCGACAAAGCAGTTTAAATTTATGTTTTCTGGAGTTAGCAGGCGAGACATATTATGAGCACAGTCATCATTTGTCTGGCCAGTGAGTTAAATGATAGAAAATAAGCGAAAGGACACAGAATATTCATTATAGCTGTAATAACTTCTACTAAGTTCTGTCTGGGCCACACAATGGTCCTTTTCTCTCAAAATAAGCCAATGGTTTTACCCTCTTTGAAAGACAGTTGGCTCGGGAAATAATCCTTTACTATTGATAGTTTTTGAGTTGCTCCTAGAATTTATGGTTACAGTTACAGTGCATAGAATTTATGGTTAATCATTATTGTTTATTTATTATGCGTAACAAATGGAATTTTTTTTCTTCTTGAAAGTGAATAATATGTATTTTGTTTTTATCACAGATCCGTTCACGTAAAGGCGGTATAGATTTAAGCGCTGTTGATGAACAACGTCGCATCTCTCAAACTTTGCTTACTGAACAGAGGAATCAAATGTCATTTTTTGTCACAGCTCTACTTCCTGTTCTTGTAAGTACTGTATCGAAACATACTTGAACTCATCACTTTATCCCCCAAACTCTTTTTCTCAGATCCAGTGAGTTAATTGATATGTGTAGGAGGATTTTATCATTCCTAGTTTTTTGAAGAATGATATTGTTTGAAATATTGAGATTTCTTTAATCCTAATCTCTCAAAATTAAATTCGGTATTATTGATGGTCATAAAAAATTTTGACTTTTTCTATTTCAGAAAATATTATTTCAGAACAGTCAGTTGGGGCTTTTAGATGAAAGCAGTCATCTTCGACAGGTGACAGATCATTTGCATGTCACGATCCGATCTGGCAAGGCTGCAACAGTCATTGATACTATTTTAAATGACATACATCAAGGATCAGATAATTCGTGGCGTAGCTGTTTATCTAAGAATGCTAGTCGATCCTTTTGCATATACAGTGGCGATGATATCTCAAGGAGAACACCATCGCCAACACCCAGCACATGTACATGGCCAACTGCAGTGGTTGGTAAGATCTTTTTCGATATGAAGTTAAAGAATACTTTCCATCAAACCAGTTTGTTTGATTCAGCCACGACTTTAATGATCAATTCGTATTTTATGATTTAAGTGGACAAATTTTTTGACTTGTATGAAGATCTAAATATTTGTATCACTGTGTAGTGGAATTATGTCTGTGGACCACTTTCATTTATTTTAATAGCTTTGAGTTTCAATCTCATATTTACGCTTGATATCTCAAAAATGTCAAGGATCATGTAGTAAAATCCCAGTTATAAGTCTGAATGAATTTTTTTAATCACTAATGGATGGATGAATGAATGAATTATTCTTTCTCTTGAATTTCAGGTTTTTCATCCAATTCGACTTCATCGGTACGGGCTCATACAATATCAGTAGTAGAACAGCCACGACGTACAGCCGTTAATCCTCGAACTTACGCACCTCCATCTCCATCACAGCCATTGGAATTTGCATTAAAAAAACCACCTTTACCCAAAAAAATCATTTCTTTCTCCAATTCCACTGTTTCTGCTGCTCCTGATTTTCACGGGTCGTCTGTTGAAGTTACTATGGTAATGTAAATTCTTGAAGTCATAAACGATTTTAACTAATCATTTGTATGACTGATATCAGGATTATTGAAGAGTTATACCAATTAAAATTTATGGGTTATATCAAAATGCGACTTTGATTAATGCTAAAATTATATTGAACCGTTATTGTATAGCTGCATTTAGTTTCTTTTTAGTCACTGTTTTTTTTTTTTTTTTTTCATAAAACTTATGTTGCTGTTTTTCATACTTTTATTGCAAAACAGACATGGAATTTGGATAATTTGATAACCTTTTCCAGACTCCTCATCATAAAGGAACCCTGCTATCATCGTCATCGGCAAATGTATCAGATGAATCAGTTTTAAGGCGACCAGCAAGGCCATTAAGTTTTGCATATGAAGATATAACAACACATCCAAACGGGACATCTCTTATAACTCGTAATGGCCATGTGAATAATGGCTGTTTTACAGGAAAAGATGGCTAGTTTTCACATATTAGAAGTTCAGTTTTTAATAAAAAAAACCAATCCATAAAACTATGAGTATCGCTGTTATTGCGGCAGCAGGATTGAAGTTAGAATTATCTTACAGATTTTACTGTTCCAGTGATATCTGTTTTGCAAAACGCCTTACCTATAGTGATGGATTCAAAACATTTCCATTTCGAAATAATTTATAAAATGCATGAAAATATAAATGTTCACCACTGCAACTTTTTTAAATAGTGACTTAGACCTGGTTGCTTGCAGATAGTGTTTGTTTTGTTTTTCCAGCAAATGATCAAACAAAGGCGAGTGCTTCACTGATTGCTGAAACTATTGAACAGATCGATAAACTGGGTTCGGAACTTGATTCTTACTGTAACACGGCAGCTGTTTCTGTGACGCATCAAACAATTCGTATTCGTTCGGGTAATTCCCAATGATTGTGATAAGATCAAATTATATATTCTTTCCCGATTTTGTCACCTTCTGATAAGCAAGATTTGTCGAAAAAAGTTAATTTTAGGTAGTTGTAAACCCCCACCACCACCAGAACGTCGGAATTCAACAATCACTGCGGCAACACCGACAGCCCCATCAGTCGCCGAGATACGAGCCGCTGGTGGAACAGCAGGTTCATCCGATTATGCATCATCAATTGCTTCATCTGGTGAATTTACTCGTGAACAGTTCTCGATGCGATACGTTTAATTGGTGTGTTGTTGTAATTTCATGTTTTGATAGCTTTTCCATTTTGTATATGGTATGACTTAATTTCTTTCATTCCAAAAATTTACATGAAAAATAAGAGACTTAAATCATATCAAAAAGGGGAATGGTTCTTGGAATCTGAGTGGGTATACTCTCGATCCTGTACTAAAAGAATAGGCAAGTCTTTGGTTTTCAGATTTAATCACGGCTTTTTTTTTTCACATAGTGTAAATAGGCCGCTTTTAACTCCAAATTCGTAACGCTTTTAACGCACTTTCATAAACAGAAATTGCACCGATGAGGAGCACATAGAAAATGTTCATTTCAAAATGCGTGATGAAATGAAAATCTTAGTTCAATAAAATTTCATGTTGGGTGAGAAACGCAAACTGTTGTAAATAATGGATTGGCAGTTTCTTAATAAAAGAAATATAAACTTTTGCATGATTTGAAATAAAATGATGCTATTTAATTAATGACTAAGTTTGTGAAGCATTCCGAAACTCGTCATAACCAACCATAATTTGTCTTATACAGAGTGCTCGTATTATTTGCATAATATTTCGACTTCCCAGATTATTCAATCATTTTTGCATGTATTGTGCTACTTTTTCTATAGAAAAAAAAATATTTCTCAATGCTTTTCTGTCCCAAAGTTTGCTTCTTTTCAGGTAATAGGTTTTCTTTCTTGTGATGTATCCGCACATTCACAAGACTATTCCATTCTTGTTATCTCTTTCTCATATATTCATATATAATGAGATCGTATTTCCTTCACTTCGTCCCAACCATCTTCGTTTTATCATTGACGTAGAACTTGATGCTAGTAATTGTGTTATTTGATGTACTAAATGACTGTAAGTTTCTCATAATCCTTGTTTAAAGCGTAGTGATATAAGGATACCAGTAAGGAAATATCGATATCGAATAGAGTAATAATTACAGTTAGCTCAAATACTCGAAACAATAAGCATAGCGGTAAATTTAAAAAAGCAAACAACTGCAGGAACTGAGGCGTTGTTTAAAATTCTTATCTTTGCTTTTTAAAGTTGAAGATATCTACAAATACTAATGGAATCAAAACTATGAGCTTCACTAAAAAGTGACATCAGTTAGTGACTGGTTAAATATTCGAAAAAGCACCTATGCACTTCGTACTCAATAAAATTCTCATATTTTTGCTAGTAGGATTGAATTCAGTTTGCAAAACTGACACCGCAGAATAAATAAAAATAATTTTTGCATGTTGGGTCATTGTTTCGCTGAAGGGGCTCGAATATAGCCAAAATTCAAGCGAAGCTGTTCCAAGAAAATGAAAGTAAGGATCGTTTGTGGCGCCAATCGAACCCATGCTGGTATGAAACCCTGCAAATTACGTATTAAATTTTTACAGATTCGAGAACCTAAAGATGAGGTAAGAAAAAAAAAATGATTTACCTTGAAAAAGCCAGTTGGTCCAAGTTTTGCAGTATATAAGAAGCAGGACAGGATACTCTGCAAATGTTCACTCAATCTTCACTTTAAATTTAGATATTTTTTTTTAAAGAAGTACACTAAAGGGATGAAACACAAATATTACTATTACCAAGCTTAGTTCGATGTTGCGCACCGACAGACAAATCAGATTTCTTTGCTCACTCTATATACACCATATAAATGAAGTATAAAGTAGTAAAAAAAATTTACAGTGAACTGGCCGGGTTTTGCGTTCATCATACGTGTTTTCATAACATCTAGCGGTTGAGTTAGAACTGTCGCAATCGATGCCTTAAAAATTTTTCATTGGTTTTGTTGCAAACTATACTAAGTGCAAATCAAATTACGTAAAAAAAAAAGTGATTAAAGTTATATAAGGAAATAGTATATGATACCGCAGCAAATGAAGATCCGAAATGAGTTGTTGGAGTATCCTTGAAATAACCCGATGCGATGGCGACTTGCTTGATTTGGTCATAAAACGATAGCTGACCTATGGTCATAAAAACAGCTCTAGATGTTGCCATTGCAGCCCCATTAAAAAGTTTAGTGATGCCTTCTTCACGCATTACTCGGAACAACCCATCAAAGGCATGCTTGTAATTCCGCCGTTCCGCTGGCGGTAACTAGAAAGAGTTGTAAATAAATTTTGGAACAATACCTGACCAATGAGTTAATTAATTAATTATTAACTCATTAGTTAGATAATGCCGACTAACTAGCTATATCATGGTCTGATAACTGCAAAAGATTTAATATGTCGCATTCAGCATTAAATCAGCATCAAATATAAAACTGACACCCAAGTTTTCCCTATACTTCCATTTCAGAATAAAGTTATATGCATCATATCTGTTATTCATCAAGACATGGGAACGATCACTTGTTTGAAAATTTCTACACACTTAGCGTTTTGCTGGAGATAAAAGATATTCTAATCTTATGACACTCTAATGCATTTAAAAAGAGTACTACGAACCTTCACATCATTTTGCATGCGCACATTAATCATGTCTCCAGGTGTGCCAATGAAACCACCACATGCTCCGCTCATCCCCGCCATCGCAGCTTTCTGATAGAAAGGAATAGTAGTTGAATCTACAATGCATTTAAATAACACACAGAAGATGAAGGCGTCTACTGTATCCCACAAATTTTTTTCCCATGTTACACTCTGTAATTGGAATATTAGCATAGTTTTATAATAAATAATAAAGTATAAATTACCCAACCATTATAACTTAGTCTAGCTACTCGTATCACATATTTTCTAATCTAGGAGCAAAATCCACAATAGCATCAAGAAACCGTTTCCAAACCATTCTGCATAAACGTATCTCACAAACAGGTTCATCTATTTTTACCTATTTTTAACCGATAGGAATAAATAAGAAACAAACCACCCGGGAACTGCTTCTTCAACTGCTCATACATGCCAAAACGTGTTAAAGAATAGGTCATCTGAAAAGCATAAATATAGCAGCAATCTGCTAAGAGTACGTATCCTACTGTTATAATCACTAGATGCACCTTATCTTTATTACTGAAGTAAGACTAATACAAAATCCCTTGGAAAAGAAGCACTACTTTTAAAATATTTTGAAAATCTTTACTGATTCATTATATGCAAATTCTTAAAAAACCGCACATTTCTCTAATAGTTATCGGCTACTCTTTTGTTAGTTATTTAACATCCAAGTAAAATCACCACAAATAATTAACAAAATGAAAATGTTTCGTATATTACCTGTCTTAACAGAGAGGCTGAAATGCCATTATAGAGACCTCGAATGCCATCGCTTCGAATAATTTTCATCGTCATTTCAAAAATACCAACCTGACCATGTTGTTGAGTTTGCAGATGTACCTAAAAGACCTTATGGATCATGATAAGAGCCTTCACGAGTACAATACTGCTTGGCTAACCTTAAGTAAATCAAGTGGATGCGTGCACATTGCTGCACCAGCAGACGCTGTACCACCAAAGTACCATCGACTGAGACGCTGTTCCCTAGACTGCACTGACATTGTTTCTGCACCTGCAACGTTCGTCGAAATCATGAACGGTCAACCCTACAACAGTAATGGTCACTTCCTGCACCGCTAATAGCAACCCTCTCCCACCTTTCACTTCAACTAGTTAGCACTCACTTCTGCTCCAGCTATTCCGTCCGAAAGGCCTCACCGACCTCAGAAAGACCGGAAGAGTAAGGAACAAGGATAATTGCTGCTCTTTCCGCTATTTCTCTGCTGCCTCTGCGCTGTATGACTGCACAAGGGAAGAGAAGAATATGCGTTCACTCAGTCGATTATCGCAACTTCTCAGCCTACTCGCGAGTGACCTTTCCTGAAGCGCTTCCTGCTTTCTCATCCCTCTTGCACTTCTCCACTACCTTATCTCCTGACTATACACCTGTACTGCACATACTTAACAGTCTATCACATCCAATTAACTGTCTAGTCATTGTCACTGAAAATTTTCTAAAGGAAGGGTTGTTACATGCTCAAATTTGAGTTAACTTTTCTGTAATTTATCTATAAATTTCGGAAGAGAAAAAGAAGAAAGAGGACGATCGACTTGACTTTTGCACTTTCAATGACTGATTAAATGATTCCTGCCATCACTAACATATTCATTATTTAAACAACTCATCGACGTACTTTCAGAGTTATTCTTAGCGGTGTCGTGTTCGATGCAGGCTGATGGACTACTTCATATTAAATGTGAACACATCGATCAATGACTTCTTTATTCTACATCTTCAAATGCTGTTAAGGTTAACTGTTACCTGTCAGTTACCGTCAGTAATAAAAGTTGATTGGAAGTCTGCGACTGTGGTTTGATCTTCTAAGCAATAATGTGGTAAGATTTTACATTACACTTTCATTCATGAAGTCACTTACTTGCTAGGATTAATTTGGATTTTTAAATTAATACTTACCCAGTCTCTATGACTTGTGGATTTTCTTTTTTTTTTGTCCGAATCGTTCATATTCCAAAAGTTTTCAATGATTACGGCACTTTATCTATGTTGTCCAAATGGTCATTTGTATCGTTTTTGTTTGCGCTCTCGCACCTCCTCCCTTTCGTGGAAGGTGCGAATATTCCAAATGGCTCATACATGCCTTGTAAAATTTTCTGTGACAAACTTTGTGTGTGTATGTATGTACGTATGCATATATGATGTGCGTGTATGTGTCTGTATATGTGTATGCGCATTCATGTGCGTGTAGTGTGTGCAACCTGTTTGTATCCTTGACGATAACATTACTCTTCTCTCGGAACTTCAACCAATCCCAGCACTGTCCTTACTAATATCAGCGCTCATATTCTGCTACAATTTTGGAAATTAAATCAATAGTACTTAATTTCCGAATTAGCTGTTGAAGAGCCTTTACCATTAAATCTTGTAAAAGCATGTATAAAAAATTCGGTAATGTCTGCTGCTAATGTCTATTTCAAGAAAGAAGGCCGTATAATTTAAGTAAACCCGTTTTGTGTCAGGTCATGAAATAAAGATATTATCTATAAATTTTATTCCTAAATGACAGTCCGTGGATGATCAAGAACAAATAGTGGTCGAATTCAGATTTTCCTTCAAACAACTTTGTGTGAAGGTAATGATATCTTTTAATGAGTAATTTCAAACTGTTTATTTCATTCTCTTCATGTTGTAGAGTACAGTTCTTTATTTCATTATAGAAGATATTATTAGATGAAGTTAAATACACATTTTAGGTGGGAAGCAAAAGACCTATATATTCATTTGGGACTTAGTTGGGTTTCCGCAGATTGGTTGACATTGTTTCTCACTAAGCTATTTGTTATGTTGTCTGTAATTAGTTTTGATGAGTGCTTTCAAATACCATAACCATACAGTAAATGAAGAACAGTTCAAAGTAGTTAAGAAAAATCTGTGTTTGATGAGTGTTTATATCGTTAAATAGGGTTAAGAATTTACTGTTTCTATTTTTATTAATTTTAGGAATATGGGTAATACTGGATACAGGGCACAAAAGGCAGTACTGATTGGCTGTTTGGTCCTACTTCTTATTGCATTGGGTACATCTATCATTGCTGTTCTCTCGCCTTCATGGCAAGTGGTCGATATACGCGAATTCCGTGCACAGCATCATGTAAAAGATAAATGCATATTTAACTGCTTGATTTATCTTCGCTTACTTTTTCTTCCCTTTTTTCATCTCTTCCCTCACTGATCATAGGATTTGCAGCACGGTTTATGGCAAGATTGCACTCGCCCGCGTCATCATTCACACCCAGTAAACAGTGAAGAGTACAAGGAAATGCAGCAAACTACTTTATTCTGCACATATAAGTTTGATCATAATGCTCGAGAGATTATTGATGAGAATCTACTGGATGTAAATCAAAATAGTGCTGCTGGTGAAGCTGAGTATCATCAGTTTTTTGGTGATTCCATTTTTTACTTTGCACTTCTTTAATTTAGGATGAGACGTTAATAACTATTGTCAGTAACTCTAGAATCATAGTGTTTGTAGGTTGGCAAAAGGCTGTGTTAATATGCTTCATTGTGGTCTTTGCATTTAATGGACTGGCGCTGTTGTGTGGCATTTGTGCTCCATGTAGTAATCCTGTTGCTGTTTTCTTTACTATCCTCATCTTCATCTCACGTTCGTTATTTTACTGTTTTTCAGCTTATTTAATTGCTAATCATTGAATAAGATCGGAGTTAAAGAACAGTCAAAACTGAATATTTAGATTATTCCGGCTATCTTGTTTGATTTATTCAGCATTTTATTGGATCGTAACACCTATTATTGCAGTATTTTTTTCGACTGTTGCAAATGCGATATTCTTCTTTGCTGCACATCGAGTTGACAGTCGATTTGTGCATGGACTTGTTGGGACTTACGAGGTCAGTTGCTGTTTACTGCTTTAGCTTAGGATTAGAAATGGTCGAAGAGGCTCAAGCGTGTCATTTTCGAATTTTAGGGCCGATTATGTATTTATCACGTTCAACTATATTCCGTACATTACATTAGCTTTTTCAATTACCGATAAAATCATAGTTGAGTTTTTTATGTTCGAACTCAGATTCTATAAGGCCGAGTGAATTTTGAAATGATTTTAATTTCTAGCAAGAAATTGGTTCTGCTTTCTATTTGTCGTTGGCGTCGACGTCTTTGCTATTATTTTCATTCCTTCTGTCATTGGTATCAACATACTATTTAATTCAAGATGCAAACAAATCGCATGATGGATTAATCTCACCAGTGATGCGCGAATTGGTACCATTATACAACTCTACCAGGCACACTGCTATTTAATTTTGTTGTTTTGTTTAATTATTGGATTTTTTTATAATTGAATATGGCTTTATTGACTTCATTTTGAATTTGAAAGGTGGAATGTTTGATAAATTTATCAAACAAACTCGAAACTGAAAAACTCTCTGTATTGCCTTATGTCCGCCATGCGACTATATCACGTTAAAGGGAAGCGGATGTGTTTGAATGACTTATAGTGATTTTATGGGCAATATTTAACTATGAATATCCTCAGATTTTCAATATAATGGTTTACTAGCTTATGAATATGTAGAAGGGTGAATTGCGATAATTAGAATATTCAACTATAAATATTACTGCAAGAAGTTGTTTCTAGTACTATATGTAATGTTTTCATTTTTTTTCGGGAATGCCCTGCAATTTCATTGAAACCTTAAAACAATAAGCAATAAAACTGCGACAACAAAGACTTGATTCGATGAGTTCTTCCCTCACTATAAATTTGTTTTGGCAATAGTTCCGCTTGTCTTGCATCCTGATATACCATAATTACTGACATGTTCACCAAAATAGAATAAGTGATCATTGATAGTGTAGTGCCGATAATAACCATCGCTGCGAAAACAGAATTTTCAACAAGGTTCCTCATGAGAAGTCGGAAAATGGAATTTTTGTTCTTTTCAAAACGCAAAACAAATCAGACCTGCAAGTTTTATCCTCATTCAGCGGTTGACCCAAACAAACCCTATGTGGAGGGGTTCCGGTCATATTTTCAGGATACCAGACTTCAAGTCCGTGATGATATGGTCCAAAGCCAAATCGTGAACTACATTCAAACGTTCGTAGGTTGATTAAACAATTTGGAAGATGAGGTACCTTAAATAGATGCAGTATCTTAAATCGTTCCTAAATTTCTTAAAAATTTTCCTTTTTCGAACTTTTTAAATCGATTCTGATGATTTTGTCGACTCGATTTGCCTATTTCATGGCTTTATTTGCTGTTTTCTTCCTGTATCAGATTTGTGATGACATAAAAATGAAAAGTGGAATACAAACCTTAATAATTATAACTTATAGAGTTTAGCATTTTAGGACGTATCATTTTTCATTCAATGTCATAACACAGCATTATAATTGATAACTTACCAGATCTCCTCGATGTACAATGCGGAAACTGGCAGGTACCAATGTATCATGAACGAATGCATAGTCTCGATTACCTGTCCTAGGTTCACCAAATGTTATAAGTCGAATATCTATGTTAAGCTTCCTGTTAGCATAAAAATATGCAAGATGAGCACTGGCTAAGGATGCAAGCGAACCTCCAAGTGAATGTCCGGTAAATATTATCGGCCGAGTGCTATTTGTCTGCAAAACGTGCAAATGAATATACCGATAATAAGATCATTCGTAATGCCCTGATTTGAATACTAGATTTATAAAATAAATCCGATCCCAGAATTTTCGAATAAGTTAGAACAGACCAACAAATCTGCCTTCACTGTTCTTCTCAGCATGTGCCATATATCTTTCCAGACAGATCTGAACGCCGCATTGAAATAACGTTGCACCGATCCGCCTGCAATGAACTTTGCTTTTGGTTCTGCCATAGCTGCCAGAACTTCAGCAGCGAGTTGAAGTTTGGAGTGTGTACCGCCAAATCCGACAATGACGTGAGTGGGGGACTGTGATATGTAATATAGGCACTGAAATTATATAAGTTTCACACAATTCTTTCAAAAAAAAATAATCGGACAATTTGTTATGACTATTGGTCATTTGAAACTTGAATGCGCTGGGAATTTGGCGAAAATACCTCATCATGTAAGTGGTCACACGATACATTGCCTTGTTGTAGAATATAAGTACCGTAATATTTTGCCAGACAATTCAATGGATTTCTCGAGTACGCTGCAGCTGCATGCTCAAATACAAAACGAGCAAATTGCGGATCATATTCTTGAAAAGTGATAGCAAATTGTATTTGTAACAGTGTTAAGAGAAAGTTTATTAGTAAATTAGAACACATCACATTCCACAAAATGTTTTTTTTTTTTTTTTTTGATCCTACTACTGCAACTGCAATATTCCTGAAAGTTAAAGTTTTTTCAGCGTAATTAACAAGACACTGTCTTCAGCCACCGAATATAGTTGTGAGATGATACATTACATATGGATGGATATACAACAGTATATAAAATCTTCTGTTGCGCAGCATCGAACCAAACTGCTTAAACTTCAGATCGTCTTACATTCTATTGACTCGTCCGATGACTATGTAACTGATGATCATGATCTGACTTATGAGTTATCTGAATCTAACAATCTTATAAGATAGTTGTGAAAAAAATCTAGTAATAGTTGCAGACATTTTTGCCACTTGATCATATCAGTCGTTATCAATTCTACTGAAGATGAATGGCAAAAAGCGTTCAGAGAATGCTGCCAACTATTATTGTGTCAGAGACGATTTAACATCCAGCAGTTGTAAGGTGGTCCACCCATCATTCATTTACTATGTTTGCAAGGTGTTGTTATCAGTTCCGATAAAGCAGCAGCAATCGAAATGAATGAGTGGACTTGATAACCAGAGTAATTATTCATTCTGAACTATCGTTTCATTCAAAGATGCTTCCGATGCTTATTCCCAAAAACTCATTTATTAAATTTTAATGAGCAAATATAATAAATATTATCTTGCAGGCCAGTAAACATGCAAACCCCATTCACCTATTCCAAACTTGAATGAGATATTGTTATCAAGTATATCACCTAAACTCACATGTTCTGATATCGCGAGGGCAAAAGACACAGAACATATTCACTTTAATATGAAGAAAAGAAAGCTCAAGGCCTTCAGACTAGTAGGATACGTACCGATCAATAATATAATGGTAGGGTGCCATGAGAGATGGCCTTGTGACTCATTTTTTTTTTAATAAATGATCAAATGTCAGCGAATCTCAATAAAGTTTGTCCTTTAGAAGTTTGTGAAATGAAGAAGTCTGACTCTCGTTGATGTGTGTACACGAGAGAAAAATTGAATAAACAAATGATAACTGTTGAAGGAGTTACACAGCTTAAAGTTTTCATTAAAAGTGTGAAATATAGGCAAATCGTAATTTTTCAATTCCAGATGTCTATTAATAAGTGAATAATATATGTAGAATGTGCAGGAAATTAACGAATCATATGAGACATACGGTATTCAGAAAATTTGGCAAGGAACTAAATACTTCATCTTGAAAGTGACCTCGTATTCTGATTTTCTATCTTGTGAATTTCAATTCTTTCACATTTCTTCCTTCTATCAGTATGGGTTACAGTGAAGAAGTTGGAAGTGAAATAAAAAATAGCTAAAGAAAAATTGTCACTGATCAAAAACGTTCTAGTTAAATTCATAGATCCTTTGCCAACTTTATCATCGATAAAGAAAGTTGGTTCAAAAGCTGTACTTTACTTTCTAAGCCAACCTAGATGATTTACACTGATATCATGTTAAAAATTGCCGTGTTTTTTCCTACATATTCAACTATTAGATAACAATAAGCAGAAATAAGCATGAAATTTTAAATCAAGTTAGTGAAATGTTGGACTGATAAACAATTCTTTTAGATTAAGCAGACATCTACCAGCTTGATGGAGAATAAAAAGAAATAAAATCTTATTAGAATTAGAAGGAAGAAAGAAATAAAATTAAGATCAATAGAATCCTATAAAATCTTATAATTGCAAACAGAATTGTTTGAATTTCAACTTCAAAACATTCATAATGATTAAATCAAAAGGTACTATATCATCATTCAGTGATTTGATATTTTGCTATTATTTAATAAAACTTGTTTTATTTTTTTTGGTTATCCTATACAACTTTATTATTGCCATCTTTTCAAAAAAAAAAAACACTGGATCGTTGTTCATGAATATCAAATTAGTGAAATGAAACAACGACATTTGCGAATTATTGCTTCTGACTTGTATTCATCAATAAGTTAGCATTTTTGACCTCAAAATCAAATTCTTCAACTTCCTCACATCGAAATGTATGAATCTTCCTGATGTTTCCAAAAAATTTTTGAAAAGAAGAAAATTAGCTGCGAAAGTATAGGATATTTTCTGGCAAACAACGTTCAAGCAAAGAAGTGTTCAATCTTCACTGCTGTAGTTAACAGCAAAGATATTTCCAATTTTTGAGGTAAGAATTTCGTCCTGAAAGATATTCAGCAGATCTCCAATTTTCAGAATAATCTGTTTCCGCAACATTTGCATTGCATTTTATCGTTTCTCATTTATTTCAACTTACCTGCTGGACCAGGTAAGATTAAGGTCATTAAAACATAGAACAGAGAATCTTTCGATGAATTCTAAGAAGTGTTTTTGTAGCCAAATTCAAAGTCACTGTGCTGTCGCTCTCATCTGAAAAAAAAAAAAGAAAAGAGCCTGATCGTAGTCAAAAAGCGTGTAGCCCACACAGTAATCTTCTATGGAAAATTAATGTTTTTCTAGCAACACAAAATATTACTCTTAAATGACGATTTTAAGATATTCTGATGAGACGAAATTTCAAAACAACCACCTGTATCCGTGCAAGATATCTACTATATATTCATTTTTCAAAAAATGTTTTCCTTCATTAATTAGATTTTACAAAATAATAAGGAGTTTCGTGTGAAGCTAGACTGATTTTGAAAAATAAAAATGGTAATATGATGCATTTTAATGAGCAAGATGATCCTTTCTCACCTTCCGTCTCTGTCCTCCAAATACAAGTTCTTCTTCTATAACCAAAAGTTGGACAATATAAGGATTGCTGCAAAATTCATGATTCTCTAGTTACATCTGATCATATCTTCCTCGATCCTGACAGTAAGTGATGTATGCTTTCAGAAGGTCAAGACGACTAATTTTAGTAGTACTAAGCTTACGCTTAGCTTAGTTTAGCTTAAGATTGAAAAAACAGGCCAAGACATGAACAATTGGATATTTGAATTATCAAAGCTAATTTGATGAATTTGATGTTTCTCACCACAAAATAATGTCAAAGATTAAGGAATTATAAGGACTCGTAATAGTAATTTATATTTCCAATCAACAATTGTATGGGAATTGTGATAAGCGGAAAATAACCGAATATCATACTAAATTAAAACTTTCCAAAGAAAAGAACCAAGTAGTAATTCATTATTTCGTTTTCACGTAAGCAGTATGTACTTCTCGGAAAACAATTCATCCAGTGCTACTAGTCTAAATTTTACTTCAATATGAGCGTCGTGATGAAGTCAGGTGCATTTTCACTAAAATTTGATATAGCACACTTTAAATTTAAAATTTTTCATAGTAAAAGCTTCCAATTATGAAAGATGCAAAACTATCTTTAGCTAGAAATGTTAAATGTGTGCCAATACGAAAGTGCTAGATTCATTAATTCTGCAGTATGTTCTACTGAGGATTCAGATATCCAATTGTAAACTAAACCATAATTGTAGGGAAGTAGCACACAACTGACATCCGGATTGTTACAGAGCTGTTAATAGCCACGCAGGTGGTAGTGTTGAAATACAACATTTTGGCAAAAATGTATTTGAAAAGAAAAGAATCATTCAAGGTCTTGCATTGAAAGTCAATTCTTATAGCAGTTTTACAAATAAACTTGATTCAATGACTAACTTGGAGTTCGGTGCGCTAACTTTCGAATTCAAAGCACATCAAGTTTGAAGAGTCACTACTACATCGGAGAAGATAGTTGGAAATAAATCTGCCTAAATACCGTGATGGAGTATGAGTACAAAAAGCATGAAACAAACACCGCAAAAATGTAAGCTATATTTCTAACAACAAACAGATTCACTAACTCATAAAAGTAAGATCAAACCATTTGCGAATGCCTCAGCGTATTCCTTCAAGATTCTATAAGCAGTCAATAATTGTCTTTTACAGTTAAAAAGAATTTTTTAAAAGAATGTCATGTTATACTGTTCAAATTTTCTCGATAAAAAAAAAACCTATAAAGTGCAATGACAGTACTAAATTTCGTAGATGCTTCTGAAAAATAAATGAAATTTATTCTATTTTGTATAAAACAACTTTTTTTTTCATTTAAAAAAAAAAAAAAAAAAAAACTAAAATTTGAGAAACAGGATGAATCATTGAAAGCAATATCTCAGTTAACAAAAAATTTTTCAGAATATGTGAATAAATATTGTTACATATAAACGACATGCTACACTACAACTATTTTTTTATTAAAAAATTTTTGATCGTAAAAAACGCGACAGTCAATAAAACATAGCATTTTAAATATAAATCGCATCCGTTTTCTGTTTTTTCTGAAAAAAATATTTCTGAATTGGGTAAAGAACTGGACAAAATCTAATGAATCCACATTTTCATTAAGATAAGGTTTGCGACGCGATTCAATGCACTCGTAACGTACACGTTGTTGATTGTCGGACAGCTATATTAGAAAAGATCTTTCACTCATAAAATTTATTGGGATTGATATTTAATATTTGGGATGGAGAGTCCACTATTGCTACAGTTTAATCTACAGAATTTCCTAATCAGTCCTGAAATTCCCAAGTTATATGTCAACTTGCTAATTCAGCTTATATAACTCATTTAAGTTCTCTTATACAATATATTTCCGAAAAGCCATTAGAATCGTCTTAAACTATTCTTACTTTGATAGCACAGAATTATCTTCTTATCTGCTCAGGAAATAGCTGAAAATGAGCAGGAACTTGAAGAAAATAAGGAAATGATTGCTTCTTCAACAACAAATCAAAGTTTTTTTTATACAACTTTCAAAACTCGCAATCTTTCAAAATGCTACCTCTCCGTGAAAATTTAAACTTTTTAAAAACAAAATCGACTTCATAACTATAAGTTAAGTTGGTCTGAGTTCAAAAATGAATATAATGGGAAAATACCACTAGAAATATATTAAAGCGGACCTAAAATCATTTACTTAGTCAACTATTAATTCTAACAATTCTACTCCTTGCAAATTATTATCTGCCATTTATTTTT